AGCTGAAATCCAGAGGGATATAGAAATCCCCAGTCCTACAGATGAGGATGCTATTTCCCATGAGCAGAATGGTCCAACCTTCCCCCATGCTTTGCCATGATGTCCATCCCCATCTTCCAGCTTCCACTCACCCCAGCCCTCCAACCTAAAGAACTGATTTGGGGGCATTTACTCCACTGACCGTGGTGTCACATCCTTCTGCTGCAGCCTTACCTTTATGGGAAGGAGAAGTCCGTAACATGGTGAATTATAAGCCAATGCTTTAAAACAGTGTTTTAAACAGGAGGTTTGGGAATTGAATTATTATTTATAATGCCCTGGGGGCACTGTGTAATTTATGGACAGGTATGAAGACAAGTAGGCGCTCAGACGTGGGGATGAGCCCAGTGTAAATGCCGAGATAGAAAGATAGATGGATAGATGAAGATAAGCTTCTTGGCCAGGAAAGCTGGAGATTGAAAAGCCTGCTCTTATAGATCTCTGCTCTCCTAGGGTAATACCTGCTACCCCAATACTCTCCCTCCATATAAAGTCATCTTAAATCTGGTGTAAATCATCTGTTTACTCTTTTTTCTTTAAATTAATTTATCCCAAGTGCAAGGAAAAAAAACCCAGGACTTGCTTTGTTGTTGCAATTTGCTGCTGGGCATTCCTATGTGTGCTAATGATAAGTATTAATTAAATAGCTTGCTGTTGTCTTTTAAATGCAGTTCTTTCAGGCTGTAATTAAACACAGACACCCAGCCCTTTCTGTCTGCATAGAAAGAGGCAGGCAGGCCTCCGGAGCTCTGCACTCCTTTCCTTGTAACAGGAGAGAAGTGGAAAATGAAGCAAAACCAGTTTCCATTGGAAACTCACCTCTCTGTGCATGTCCTTCCCGGGGAAAGCAACCAGCTAAAGGAAATTAAAAGAATGTGACTTCCAAGATCCCGGCCCTGCAATCAAAGTAAGTTTGTATGCCCTTAAGTCCTTCCAGCTGCATACATTTGAAAGGCAGAGGAGATCATTTTGTTTGATCTCCCGTGCGACACAGGGCGTTGAGCATCACTTTGCCATGTTCATCGAGCCCAGCAACTTGCTGGCTTATGAGCACCTCAGTCTGAAGATCTGGAGATAGGAGTCCATCCCTCTCACTTGCTTCCTGGTATCCTCAGTTTTTCTCACCCTTGCTGTGAAAAAACATGCATTGCTGTAAATCCCCATCCCCATGTGCTCCTGCCGTCAATACCCAGTGTAGGATGCGCTTCCTGGGTAGACCTGAGCTCCCACCAACCTTGCTGCCCTCTCTTCTCTCTGGTTTCAAATAGAAACTCAGCACTAAAGCCCCCTATGCAAATAAAGAAGTCAGATGCTCACGTGATGGAAAACAACCCCAAATGAAATTTATTATATGCCTACAATGCTGAATGACACCTATACCCAATGTTATTCCTGCCCTCAAAGGCAACAGGGCTTCACTTATCTACAATGCTCCTTCTAATCAATAAATACATGAAGAGACTCTGGCTGGCTGCTGTACAACTTATAAGAGTGGTAAGGGAAGATGCAGCTCGTTCAAATGATGCCCATTTCAGAGCTGGACCATGAGAGACATGTTTCTGTCCCACAATCACTGCAGGGAGCCCGGAGAGCATAAGAGGAGGTGTAGGGGAAACAGGGCCAGCTCCTGCTGGTCACCAAATCCACACATCAGCCTGTCAGATAGTGACAATGAAGAGCTTCACCATGGCAAAGACAGCAGGAACTGTGTTCAGCAGCTACACATATGTTTTATTTTGAATGGAAACATTTAAGGATGCATTTGTGTATTTTATAACCCGAGATCTGTAGAGTACATGTAATAAATATATGCAGAATATAAGACATGCATTGCCTGCCTGCAAGGGGTCCTCAATTTGGGGCAGTGCAGCCCTTAAGGCACCCTGAGTGATGCTTCTTTGCCTTGATGATCCCTGAGGCTCCTATCAGCTCAAGGCTGGATTTGCCATGGGCTTTTCCTGTCCTCCCAGCCCCATGTCTGGGCCTGTCCTGTGGTTTTGGTGTAGCCCAATGGGTACCCACAGGGAATGGGGAACAAGGAACAGTGTCCTGGACTCTCCGCAGGCTCCTTCCGTGGTGAAGGGAGTACAGAGCTGGGAGCATCCTTGGGGCTGTTGATGTTAGCAGCAGCAGAATTAGCTCAGAAGAAGATTATTCCTAATTATTTGTATTTCAGAAATGGGGGAGACAAATGAGAAGGGAAAAGGGGAAATGAAAAAAACAAAGCTTGCGTTCAAAAATTAAATATTGATTTGAAAATGAATTTGAATTTCTTTGGATTTTAAAAAAAAATGTTTGTTCCATCAAAAAATGAGCTGACTTGGAGCAGAAACTTTAAAAAACTATTTTAAGCTAAAAAAAAGGAGGATATTTTGAAGCCAATTTAATCATTTTTTGACCAAATAGTTAAAATTGTGTTTGAGTTTTGAGAAGGAAATTTAGAGATTTTGGAAATTTTAAAAAACTTTAAAACACCATAGAGCAAAAAAAAAACTGATATAGGGGAAAGGAGAAGTGTTGCCTTGCTAAGAAAGAAGAGAGCCAGTGGCTGCCCTGCGTGGCTCTGTCCTTGTCCTGACACCCCTGAGATCACCCCGAGCACTTTAAGATCATGAGATACTGAGAACAAAGAGTTTGTGTTCTCTTTTTTGCTCTTTAATTTCACACTTTGGGGGCTCCCAAAGCTCTTCAGCATTTTTAGGGCAGGTTAGAAACTGCTTCTTAAAGAACGCAGCATGGAAAATCACATATAATGTGATGTTATCAGAAAAACAGCAAAAATAACTATTTCTGGGGGAAAAAAGGTAATTAATAAGTGATGAGCACAGGAGGACAGTGATGTTGATGCAATTCTTTATTATTCATCTACTTGCTCTTGCTTTGGAACTTCTTGAGCAGACAGCAGGGTGGATGTTTGCACCTTTTGCATACTACTATGATATAACAGTGGGATGCTGCAGGGAAGGATGGGGAAGGCAGAAGGGGCAGTGTATGCAGACAGCATTCTTTTGGTATCTGACATATGGAATAGAGCAGGACTCACAGTGCTGGACCAACACGGAAACAGAAGGATGATGCTTTTGCCATTGAAGTTTGCTATCAGAGCTTTAAACAAAAGAGTAGCTTTTGAGGATGGGCCTTCTCTGTTGCTGACTCTGCATGACCCTGAGGAGCATCAAGATGGGGTGAGGACCAGGGGAACTCTCCCACAGCCCACCCAGCCCTTGGCACCAGCCTGTGTGCTGCCTATGGGCATCTCCTATGGTCGAACACTGTCTGTGGACCAGGCTGCTGCCACCTCCTCACTGCAAGCTTGGACCTCGGCAGATCCATCTGGTCCCTACCTACCCAGCAAAGCACCAGCATCCAGCCCCTGGGATCTCCTCACTTCCACTCCTGCAGGATGCTTGTGGGGATTAACCAGGCTATGCTCCCTAAACCCATCACATGCGTTTCAATAGTTTTAATTGTTGCCTTTAAGATAATTACAGGCTGGAGAGAGCAGCCAGGAAGAGCCCTGTGGATTTGCACTGGGGCTTGGGCGCGCTGTTGTGTATGGTACACATGGGAGATTTGCCTCTTAGCAGTGGTTTTCCTCCTTGTGAGAGCAGTTTGCACACCACAAGGAGGAAGGACCACAGTACTCCACTCCCCAGGGTTGGAACAACTGGAGCAAGCAATCCTCCTGCATCCCACTGGGAGAGCATCCCCCAGCACCTGGCTCCGTAGACACTGACTCTTGCTCATTGAATCCACAGCTTTTTCCTCCTTCACAAGCCCATTCAGAAGGGAATGGACACCTAAAGCAAGCAGGATGCCAAAATCAGACTCACAGAGAGGCAAGGAGCACCCCTTGCCCAGAAATGAGGCATTAACTGCACCCAGCCCCAGCACTCTCCTTGGCTGTTAGTGAGATAGGCCGTAGTTGGGGTTTCTTTAGGATACTGTGGTTTGTCCTTGTCCATCACTGGCCATTATCCATCCTCCATTGCCAGAGAAAACATCCTGCTGATTTTAAAGGGAGATGTCTCAGTCTCTGCTGTAGCCTGGAGTAATTCAGTTTTGAATGAGAGGAGCGCTGTGACTGCTTTTCCCCTGTGTGCAGCTTCCTTTCAATTATTTTGTGGGAGCTCCCCACCAGGGAGCAGGATAGGCCAGTTCTCAGGGTTAACACGACTTCCCGGGTGCTGCCAGGCCACTGACACCCCTCAGAGCATCCAAGCCAATCCATGTAGACTCACATGCCCAAGGGCATCACTGTGTTTTGCTAGCCAGGCTGTTGCTTTGCCATGGTTTAAGGTGCTGCTGCTCATGAATGGTTCATTCACATCCCTCTGATGAATGGGATGAGCCTGGTAGTTGAGCAGCAATGGTGGTGCATGATGCGCATCCATCTGACTTTGTGCTGAAGAGGATGAGGAACACCTTCTCCAGCAGGACATGGGAAACTTCTCAAATACAAGTGAGAAAACAGCCCAAAAATCCCACTTTTTCTCAAGCACAGCCCAGTGCCTCACCATGAAACCCTGCCAGGTGTCCTTGTCCTTGCATTTGTAGTAATCTCTTTGCCACTGATGCATTTTAAAATGAAGATAAGATTTCATCTAAACACAAGAAGTTGCTCTAGTTCAACCTGCAGGATGTCTCATGGCCGGTGTGGTTTGCAGGATCAGGCTGGTCACTCACATGCATCGAAACCAGCAGTTAATGAAGGGGTAATGTGGGGCCCAACACACTGAAGGCAGGATTTAATTTAGTATCTAACCCATAGAAACCCATTTAATAGCGCTTCTCCTAAATTACTGATCCTTTTCCACCCGAACTCCTAACCTGGAAATGATCCCAGCAGGAAAGAAGGGGAATAGCTCAAACATGAAAATGCAGTGAGGGTGAGATGGCTCCTGGGTGCAGATGGAGGGGATGGATGGGTCCTTCATTGGGATGTATTCTTGCCCCCGTTGTGGACTTCATACAAACATCTGCAGGCAGTGCTCTATGTGTCAAACCCATGCCATACCCAGAGATGAGCATCCAAAGGGGCTCTTTGAGGATGGGATATTCCCCTCCATGAGCTGCTGGCTTTGCACCAGCAGTTCCTCGCATTCCAACCCTCTTCTCCCTCTCCCCTTGCCCCTTCCCTCCCCCTGTGATATGATGCATTGGCAGTGAAATAAAACAACCAGCTATTGCATTATTACTTTCCACCCCTACTTCCCTCCCGGGCATCTGTATTTCTGCAAATGTTTTTAATATTTGCTAATAAAAGCAGCTCCAGTAGTGACATGCTCTCTTCCCAAGACAAAATTGCCGGGACTGGCCTTATCTAACAAACTCCTTTTGGCACAAGCACGGCTCCTACGAGCCATTTCTGCCCATTCACAGGATTATCAGCCATCTCTGCAGCCAGCCCCAGCCCTCCTCTCTCATTCCTAGTTAATTGGTGTGAAATTGGAGCAAGTTCTCAGGTGATAATGTGTTTGCATTTACTGCTTCACTGAACCACCCTAGCCACTCAATCCCAGCTTCATTAAAGCCTCAATCTCAGCTTTTGCTCCTGGCTGTGAGCTTCAAACCCTATTTCCTGCGTGGCAGACATACAGCCTAACACATGTCAGGAAGACAGCTTGAGCGGAGCTGCTGGGAACAAGCAAAGCTACTGCCTGGGCGCCGCTCCGGGGGAATCACGTTCACGGTGGGAATGATGCTCGGAGTCCCCGTGATGGCTTCATGCTGGGTTGGTTGGCTCCCTGCGCTTGCAAAAGGCGTATTTTGTGCCCTTTAATTATCTTTGATTAATGAATTAATGTATTTCTTCTTTTTTTTTTTTTTTTTGCTGCAGCACTTTGAAGATAAAAAGCCTTCGCCTGAATTCTGTGATTAGTATTTAAAGACTCGAGCGAAATATTTGGAGGCAGAAAAAAACCCTAACCGAGGAATGCCTGTGTTCAAACATTCAATAGGGCCTATTCACAGGATCGGATTCCAGGGTTATTATTAGCAATAAGGTTATCTTTGGCATCATCTTTTTATGCACAACATGCTACTGGATTCCACCCTCCCCTTTCTCTCGGGCCCTGGGGCAGACGGTATACAAATTAGAGCTGGTTCAAGCCTTGTGTTTTTCATGCAGGCAGAGCTGAAGTTAGGCGAGGTCTGCCGCAGTTATATTTAGGACCATCCATAAGGCTTTTTGGTGTAACATACATGTCTAAGGATGCTCCAATGCAGGGGAAAAAGTGTTGCTGCTGGGGTAGCTTCAGCCCCACCAGCACATGCTGCTGCAAAGCTGCCATCCATTAGGGACATTGGTGAAACCCCATGGGGTGACCCTTCAAACTGTGCATGGAAAGGGATGGGTTGGGCTGCTCCTACTCCTGTAGGTCACGGAGGCGGCTCCGAGCATCTTCCCCGGCGCGTGAGATCTCACAGGTCTGGACACAGGTCTGGGTTTGGACAGGTCTGGACATAGCTGGGGAGAATGAACCCCTGCCAGATGCACCACAATGAGAACCTCTCTTTTGGGGAGCCAAAAGCACCTCTCGGCCAGATTGGATGTGCCCAAAGGGTCTTGCCTGCTCCCAACCCCTGTCCCAAGAGACACAAGGGTGGCTGGGTGGGTTGTGGGCACAAAAGCAGAGAGCAGCTGCCTGCTGCCTCTTAGGTTGGGTGTATTCCTAGCTGCTGGAAAGCTGCAGGTAGGAGTTGGGGTTTTGCTGCTGTTGTTGTTGGGGTTTTTGGGTTGATGGTGGGTGTGATTTTTCAAACGCGCTCCTCTTTGGCACATCTCTACCGGCGACGTCAGTGAAAGCCCCGGGATGCCTCCGCCAAAACCCAGGAGCACCTTCCTTTGAAACCCGCCCTGTGCGTCTCCCCACATCCAACCACCAGGAATTGCTGGTGGGAGGAGGCGAGGCCACATTCAGCGGCCATCCATCACCCCAGACAGCTCTGCTGCTGCACCGAGTCACCCTAAAACAGCCTCCAAAACCCGGGATGCTCATGCGTGACCAGGGTCTCCATCTCGGATGCAGGCAGAGCCAAAACACATAGAGGCACATTAAAGGATGGGCAGTGTGGCTTTGAAATGGTGCAGCAATCCCCTGTAGCCTAGTTTTTAGAGAAAGTATTTTGTAGCTGGTTATTCTCTTTGTGACTAAACATGGTTATTAGGCCCCAAGTGCATCATTAAACCTGTTATTAAAAGTAAACATGTAAAGGGGAATATACTGGTGTGCAGCAAGCTCATTCAGGGCGCTGGACCCTCTGAAAAAGTCATTAACATTTGTATGTAAAGTGAAGGTAGTTAAGAACATATTGGGCTAATTCAGGGCCTTAGAGCTATTAAAATGAACTATCATTAAAAATAAATATGTAAGGCAGAATATGTTGCATAATTAGAATTATTACAGTGTTTACTCCGATTGTTTTTTATGCTGGCCTCTCACTTAAGAGGTTATTTGTATGTATGTATGTGTGTTTTCTATATATATACATACACAGTAATGTTCCTAGCTATATATATATTTGGTTATCTATTGTGTTAAAATGACCCTGTAGGTTAAATTTGACTTCCTTGTTGCAGGATGAGACAGAGCCCTGGCAGGATGAAGCCTTGGATAAAACCTGGTGTGGGGGGGTTGGAATAACACGTAAATCTTGGCTCTATGTAAGTGTTGTGGCTGTGGTCCAGTGTCTGCTGAGTTCAGTGTGAACCTTTCCTTGACTTTTTCCGTGCTGGGTCAGACCTCAGGAATGCGCCTCCTGCTTTGATGGTTTCCATTGGAAGGTCAGCTCGGAGAGTCAGAAAATCAGCAGCTTTGCTTTCCATGGGCAGTTCCCAAGCCCAGCTCCACCAGGAGTCAGGCACTCGTTGCAGCTGGTGCCACCTCCTTTTGACCCAGTCTCCTGTGACTTGCGTGTCCCTAAGGAGGTGGGAGGGTGGGATCAGCTCCCTGTCACTGGGGTCTTCCCAGCTGGGTCTTGGTGCTTCCCTGAATGGGAAAGGATACTCCCAGGGAAGGGTTTTTCCCTGCAGTTTTGGACTCCCGCTTTTCCAGTGTCTGAGACTGGTGTATGTCCTGCCATAGTTCCTGCGTAATATATATACTATTTATATAGTATATATATAAATACATATATAATAGAATCATGGAATAGTTTAGGTTGGAAAGGGCCTTTACAGGTCACATAGTCCAGTCCCCCTTACAATGAGCAAGAACATCTTCAACTAGATCAGGCTGCTTAGAGCCTCGTCCAGCCTGACCTTCGTGCAACCTCATGCATCCACACCCCTCTAGACAATCTGTTCCAGTGTTTCACCATCCCCATCATAACAAGTTCTCACTTATATCTAGTTTGAAACTCCTATAGGAACCATAATGCTGACTGTAGTTACCTCCCAGGGACTAGTATGGGTGCTGAGGCTTTCATGAGGCTGGGGAAGACCAGTAAAATAAATCTCAGCCCTTACCATACCATCCAAGGGACTTGTTCCAAAAACTCCTCCAGGAGCATCACCGCACAGGATCAGAAGAGGAAGGACCAGAGATCAGGGAGGAAAAAGCTACACTGAAGAATTGTATGGGATGGGAGATGACTCTCAAAGAGCAGCCTTTTGGAGGGGCTTATCTATGTTAATTAATTATAGTGAAGGGGACAACCCTGTTGGGTGTCAGTGACCACCACCTTCCACTCCATCAGGGGTGCTCAGGGTCTGCATCTCCATTACCCACCATGGATGTCTGCAGGGGTCTCAGGGTACTGCATGCCCCAGCCCTGTGTGTGGGTCACTCATGGGGTTGCCCCACCACCATAGCCCTTTGTGAGTGTTTCTTGAGCTGGCATGACCCCGAATGCCCGTGAGCATCAGGGAGATAAGCACCCGCCCCTCGCTTTCTAGGAACAGAGTTATTAATGTCAGTAGATGGCACTATTTCTTCTGCGATAAATGGAGGTGGTTCCCACCACTGCTCTGAGCCGGGAGCTGGACCTGGCAGGAGAAGTACCAGGCTGAGGGCAAGCTGCTTCCCAAGAGTCCCAGGAGCTAGTGGTGGGCTCCATAGGGGCTGTAGTGGGATGACGCTGGCAACTGGGCAGAGTCTCCAAGGTCCCTGCAGAGATCTGTCCTCCTGGAGGTCACCTTCCCATTGGGTTCGGTGCCCAACAGTGAGTCGATGATCATCAGCCCAAACCTCAGGCAGTGCTGCCAAACCACGGCGCTGCTTGTTTTGTATGGGCTCTGTTTTTAGGGTTGAAATGCAGTGTTTGCTGCTGATTTGCCAGGTGGAGAGAGAGGAGACAACAGCTTCTGCATCTCTCCCTGCTCCAGGTGACACCATTGTGATCACCATCCCCGGATGCTCTCAGCTGCAGCAGTCCCATTCAGCCAGGGGTCTCATTCAAACATGTCTCTAAAGGGTACCACTCCCTTTATAGTCCCTATAAGCTTCTAATATCAGCTGAACCATAGGGCTGCTAACTCCTGCCTCATCCATCAGCACCAGATCTGCTCCCATGGGTGCCAATGGGCTCTTGGCCATATGCGTGTTGCAACCATTGGCCATTCAGGGGTCATTCTCCACCTCACTGAAGTGAACTGCATCTCGAAGAGGTGCTACAGAGCACGACTGAATATTTGAATACTAAAACGAAACCCTGCTGGTGGGAGTACAGCTGCTATTACACCTATTATTTAATTGTGGTGCTGTTTCAGAGCCCTAGGCATGCACCTGGACCCCTCGTGCTAGGTGCTGTACAAACAGGACGGAGGAGAAGGCTTTGGCGTTTAAAGGCACTGAGTCATTCCTTCGCCCTCTCATCTGAAACCTCAGCTTTGTCTAAAACCTTCAGGATTTTGTTTAATGGGTGCAGCTAATGGTGAGGTAATCAGGGAGCCTTTTGACACAAACCCGAGTGATCAGTGGGTTGGATGCCTTTTGATCTCGTTGAGGAGCAAAGGCGCTGTGAGGAGAAGACTCGTGGTGGGGTACCTGGTGATGCTGTGCCAGTGGGTGGCAGAGACCAGCCTAGAGCTGTGTCTCCTACATTGAGCCCCTTGTGTCAGGATCCTACATCACCCTTTTGCCATGTTCTGGTGCACACTGGGGGCTTGTGGGCATATCCATAAGACTGCTTGGATGCCACACAAGAGATGGGGACCTCTAGGGATGACCATTCCTCTGTTTCCTGAAGAAAGGGGATGTCTGTGCAAGACTTGCTGCTGATAGACATCAATTTCAACTTATCCTCCTTGAAGGAACCCAAACCAAGCAGCGGGTGTAAGCCATGCCCTTCCCAGGCTTCTGTCTGGCCAGCTCCATAGCTTTGCTTCCCAAAGGATAACCATGAAAAGAAGAAAAGGTCCAGAGTAGGTTCCTGCAGCAGAATGGTGACCAATGGATGCCGTAGGGAAGGGTGGATGGTCTCTGCTGGGTGGTCAGCCCAGGCTGTCCCTCATATGCTATGTGTACGGTGCACAGCCAGGCCAGAGCTTGTCTTCTCCTCTTCTGAGGGTGACTTCACCCGAAACCTCTGCTGTGTGGCAACATCTGACTGGGGTGTGAGCCGGGACGATAGTTCTGCAATGACAGAGGCCCCAAGGTAAACCCATGAAGTTAGACTTGTAGGTACATTCTTTTGCACTGATCTTCTGCCTGGCAAGCTGGTACAAGCTACACCTGCAGGTCTCCTTTCCCTTCCTGCTGGTGTGAGCTAGGTCTAGCTCAGAAGGTCCATGCTGGCACAAGGCAGGTGATGGGGGGACAGCAACATGGTGCTGCTCCTCTACCATTATCTGGCACTGGTGGCTTGTTGTATGGGCTCAGGGGTCATGTTTGCAGCCCCCCAAGATCCCAACCTTGTAGAAACAACCTTTTCCAACTCAGCTGGGACCAAGCCCTGCCAGGTTAGAGTTCAGTTGGATGAGCCTCTGCATGGTCACAAGGAAGGGGACAAGAGAGTATGGATAGGGCAGGGGACAGATGAACTTGGGTTGAGCACACAGCCTTCTCAAGGCTCAAGCTAAGGTGATATCCTTTGAAAGGACCTTAAAGTAATGTGTTTAGAAGAGCTACAATAGAAACAGGAGTTCTGAGGGGCTCCTTTTCAGTGGCAGCCAGCTCATGTGAGGGGGGGGAAAGGGACTGATGGAGGTAGATCTGCTCCTGCTGGTATCAGATTATTATAGAATCCCAAACTGATTTGGGTTGGAAGGGACCTTAAAGCTCGTTCAGTTCCAAGCCCCTGTCACAGGCAGGGACACCTTCCACTAGAGCAGGTTGCTCCAATCCCTATCCAACCTGGGCTTGAACACTTCCTGAGATTAGGAGGCCCCAGTCTGTTTAGGAGGTGCAATATAAAGAAGAACCTCCTCTGCAGTGGCCTCACCTAGCTGACAACCAAACATAAATGATAAAATGTCTAAATTGTCATTTCATCACAAGGAAATTGAATGAACAGGGTAATGGAGGGGGTAATACAACTCCCAACTGCAGCTAAACATATAGCTGGCAGCAAGAGCATGCTGTTCAGTACTGGAAGGGAAGGTTTGCTGATCTGCTTTGCATTAAGCATCATGTGTCTGCAACACAGAGATTCCAGGCTGGATGACCAAGCCACTCACAAAGATACTTCTCCAGCAAATGTCATGGTAGTCCTGTCTGCCCCGAGCAGTCATCAGCACAGATCCCATCCAAGCAGGGACATGCCTGTGAACCACATCAACTTTTTCACCCCAAAGCCCATTTTGCTGATCTTTCTCTTGTTCCAGCCATGGGGCTCTCACCTACCTTGGTTTCTTCTCCATTAAGACAAATCCTTATCTCACCCAGCTTCAGTCACTAGGGGTGGGAACTATATGACTAAATGCAGACAGCTAAAAGGCCTAGAGGTCTTGCTATGCTCCCTTTTATAGTCGATGGAGATCTGATCTGTACAGCCAGGGGAATTTAGGGTGCAGTTCATCTTGTATTAAAGCAGTTGCAATCAGGCTGGGTGAACTGCCCCTCCAGAGGGCCTTTGGTGATGACAAAGGGTGCTGAGGTACCCACTTAGCTCCACAAGTCAATGCTGCAGAGACTGGTGAGTGATGTGAATGCCACCCTGGTCCCACTTGTCTGCCTGGGCTCCTCCAGGAGAGAGTAAACACCCATGTCCATATGGCAGCTCAGCCTACCTGCCCTAGATACATCTCAGATGGAGCAGGATGGTCCTCTGTAGCATCCTGTCACTTGCTGTGGAGTGTAGATGTGCCACAGATAGCTTCTAGGAGGTAAGTTAGGAGATGAGCATCCTCCTTTCCTTTAGTCTAAGCTTGCCACCTCCCACCAGGCTGCTGAAAAGCTTGTGAGTGTGGGCCCATCACTATGGCTGCAAGAGGATGACTGCAGAGTGGTCCAGAGTTGCACATTGCAGGTGGTTCCTGTGTCCCACCAGCACTCTTGGTGTATCCCAAACAGGGCTATGTCTCTGGCCATGGGAAAGCCCACCTGCAGAGATGAAGCTTGTGCCTTGCAGAAGGGTGTGAATATGGGGAGATATAGCCTAACTTGTTGGGAGGGTCCAACATCTCCAATAAAGAAACCTTGGGGACCAGTGCAGGCCTGTAGAAGGCATCTTATACCTGGTTCTCTCTGGTGGTTTTTCTCCCTGGATCCAGCCAGATGACACTTGG